GGAGGGATGGACACTGGGAAGAGGTAACTATGGGGAGGAAGTGGGAGGGGAGCTGTTGCATTGTGGTAAACTGTGGTCAATAACATGAGACAAAGTATATGTGAACTGCTGGGTGGAAAGTGAATTTGCTCTGTAAATCTTCATCCAAATCACAAAAAAAAAAAAGAATAGCATAGACACAGAGACAAGCAAGCACAAATGAGAAAGACAGGTGCTATACTACATGAAGACACTAAGGAACCGAAGAATGCTAGAATAAACATAGATCTTTGCCCACAGCCAACAGAGAGAGAGAGCCTTTTCCTACAACCAGTAGTACCCTGAATTCAGACTTCTAAACAGTGAGAAAATAAATTTCTGTTAGAACAGCACTATGAAACTAAGACAGTGTATGACTATGTGGAGACAAGAAGGGCATGAAAGGATGACAGTGGGAAGAAGGGCCCTTTCTCTGCAGAGATGGACCAACCCAGGATTGACTATGGCAGATTGTTCAAACCCAGTGCAAAAAGCTCTTGCAGGGCAAAAGGCATAAACCCAGTGTGATTTTGAAGCACATGGTGATTTCTCAGGAAAAGGAAAAATCAAACTTGCCTGGATCTGGGCTCTCAGTAGTCTTGGGGCCATGTCTCCTGAACCGTTCTCCCAGGCAAGGGCAGACAACCCCACAAAAGCCAATCTGGGGGTAAAAAAGGAAATATGAAGAAGTCCTCCCATGTCTTACACTAGCTAAACCTTGCTCACTGCAAGCTGGACAAACCCAATTATTGCCCTCCTTACTTCTTACAGAGGTCAACAGGTGAAGGTGCTTAGGGTAATGAAGAAAGGCCATGGAACTGCTGCCTGGAACCTGGCTTTGAGTTTGGCCTTGTAGCACCCTCCAAGGCCAAGCTGAGATTGTCAGTCAGTTGAGCACCTTTGCCAAAATGGGTTGAAAGTCTCATCAGTGATTAAATGTTTAGGGCCTAAGGGTAAGCATTTAAGCTCCCTCTATTAGCCAGTCTCATGAGAAGGAGACACTAACTCCGGATGCTGAATACTGAAGACTTCCTGCCAGTGTGACTCTGCACAGATATGGTCCTCTCCTATCCCGGCTTTTCTTTGACCCACCCTCCAGGAAAGAAAGTGGTGTATGCAGCTAGAGCCCAAGGTTTCAGGACCCCAGACCAGCAGCCAGCAATCGTGGACCCAGCCAGATGGGCTACACAGGGCTGAGGAGCTATGTGCACACAGGGGTAGCAACATCCCGCAGAGGTCCCAGCCAACGTGAACCCACAGTCATGCAGTACTCACCTCACACCAAGGAAAGCAGTGTTGGAATTTGAAGTGGCTGCCACAAAGGCCTCTGGAAAATGTAGTCTGGGAAACACACCAGTGCCTTAGTGTCTCCATTCTGGGTGTACTGCTATCACCTGGGGATCTTTAAAAAGTAGACATGCCTATCCTTTCTTTGGGTGCCTGACCCAAGAGGCATGTTCCCAGGACCCGTCCTCACCATGCATTTTTGCTTCTAGATGTATAACTAGACTTAAGTCCCAACGAGCCCCAAAAGGTGAAGTGCAAAGTGTGACATAGGAAGAGGTACACTACACTCCAAAACACCAAAAACCAAACCAAACTCACTGCCATCCTCAATTCCATCTCATAGCAACCTCTATGCAGTTTGCAAGGCTGTATGTTTTTACAGAAGCAGACTGCCTCATCTTTCTTCTGCAGAGTGGCTGATGGGTTCAAACCACCAACCATTTGGTTAGCAGTCAAATGCCTTAGCCACTACATCACCAGAGCATCTTACACTCCAAAATAACTGCTTGATTTTTCTAATATTTACAAACAGAAACCTGGAGAATATGTGTGGGAACAACTATTAAGAGTGTGGGATAATGGTGCAAGGTATAAATGTCAGATTAGTCTGAGTTTATTGATATGGGTCCACTAAGCACAGATTCTTCATTCAGTGTTTCAGCTCAAGAGGTTAGCAAAGGATCTAATAGTTTATTTGGCCATTCACTGAAGCATGGATTACATGGTGACCTACTCTAAACCAAGTTCAGACCTTCCTTAGTATACTGTAGAAGGTATCTGGTAGTTAAGTTTGTGTGTCAACTTGGCTAGGCCAGGTTGAGTGGCTGGGCAGTTGAATGTAGTTATTCCCCATGTTAAGATTGGTAATTAACTCCTTGGTGGAATCTATTGGAGCAGCTGAATAGCTGCTTTGGGTATGTGGTCTGCTTCTTATATATAAGAGACAGCTCTGGGAATGATCTTTAGCTTATGGCACACTTGAATCCTGCATGTAGCTATGTGGTTGTTCAGCAGTCTGCCATGCTCTGCCAACCTTACAACTTTCAATGGGCTTGAATGACTGGCCTGCCATGTGGTTTGGTAACATCAGGACTGTGCCTTTTTACTTGTCAACCTTGGGCTTGTCAGCCTCAGCAGCCAGCAGCTGCCTGAGTGAAGAAAGGTCTCTAGCTTCAGGGGGCTAGAAGCAGGAGGCAGAGCTGAAGCCCAAGGTTAAGAGGCTTTCACCCAGCCCCTAGAGCCTGGCACTTTGAATTCAGACTTACAGCCTCCAAACTGTAAGAGAATAAACTCTTGGTTATAAAGGCCATCCCATTTGTGGTATATTCCTTTCAGAGTGGTACTAGATAACCAGAACAGTATATCCAAAGGCTTAAGGAAATTAGCATGTTAGAGTGGATTTATCAAGTTAGACCCATAGATCCACACATGGAATGCCCAGAGGACCCAACTTTTACCACAACGATGAGGAATAAATTTGTGAAGGCAACCCCAGCATTCTTGAAGATTGCTGTGACTATTTTATGTAAGTCAGCTATGACAGTGAGAATTAACCTAAATTAATTAAGTCACCTAACTACAATGGGGTTTAGTGGACCCCATGGTGGTAGGGGCCAAGTGGCAGCACTTAATCAACAAAGATAAAGTAGACATGGTTACCATAATGGACAATAGCAGTAATCATAATACTCTGACTTATATGAACTTAAGGCATTGACTATCTAGGCATTTTATTCCTAGGAGTGAAACAGATGGGAAATCTACTAAATATTTACTTGATCTGTACAAGTGGAAGAATTCTAGGACAAGTGAATGACAGTCTAACTTGAATCACTAGAACAGAGTCAGGGCCCCTCAATCAATTCCCAGACTTGAGTCAGTCTCAATGAATGAATGAAGGGGAGGCCAAGTTCCCTTGAGGAAGGACCCCACTACACTCCCCAAAATTTAAACTGTTAATTCTTTCTCTCAGCCTTTCCCAAAGAGATCTATTCTATAGCCTTTTACTAAAGTTACTGTTCAGTAGGGAAAAGGAAATAATCAGAATTTCAGTAATTACTGGATACTAGCTCTGAATCAATTCCCAAGATTCAAAAGGACTGGCCCACCAACGTAGGGACATATGAAGGTCAGATTATTAATGCTTTCTTAGCTCAGGTCCATATCACAGTAGGCCCAGTGGGTCTTTGAATACATCCTGTAGTGACTTCCCCAGTTCTAGAATGCATAACTGGGACATTTTCAGCAACTGGCAGAACCACAACACTGGATCACTGACATGTGAAGTAAGGGCAGCTATGGTAGGAAAAGACCAGTAGAAGCCATTAGAACTGCCCCTACCAAGGAAAACAATAAACTAAAAGCAATATCACATTTCTGGAGGGATTAAATAGATTAGTGCAACCATTAAGGACCTGAAGGATGCAGGGATGGTGATTCTCATCACATCCCCATTAAACTTGCCTATTAGGCCTGTGCAAAAAATCAGATGGATCTTAAATAATAACAGTGGATTACTGTAAACTTAACCAGGTGTGACTCCAAATGCAGCTGCTGTTCTAGGTGTGGTTTCATTGCATGAGGAAATTGATACATCTCCTGGTACCTGGTATGCAGCTACTGAGCTGGCCAATGACTTTTTCTCAATTCCAGTTTCAAAGGATCACCAGAAGCAGTTTTCCTTCAGTAAACAAAAGCAAAAATATGCCTGCACTGTCCTACCTCAGAGATATATCAACTGTCCAGCACTGTGTCATAATTTAGTCCACAGGGCCCTTGATTACTTTTCTCTTCCAAAAGATGTAATGCTGATCCTTTAATACTTATAACATTATGCTGACTAGGCCTAGTAAGTAAGAAGTCTCAATGATTCCAGAATTATTGGTAAGACTTTGTGTGCTTAAGACAAAAAAAAAAAAAAAAAATCACTGTCATTGAATCTGATTCATAGCCTCATAGCAATCCCCAATGGGTTTCCAAGGGTGTAAATCTTTATAGAAGCAGACAGCCTCATCTTTCTTCCATGGACTGACTGGTGGGTTTGAACCATCAAGCTTTTGGCTAGAAGCCAAATGCCTTAGCCACTACACCACCACAGCTCCTTATTTGCATGTTCAAACTCCCTGCCATCAAGTTGGATCTGACTCATAGCGGCCCCTCCTTCAGTTTCCAAGGTGGTGTCGCTACGGAAGTAGATTGCCCAATTTTCCTTCTGAAGAGTGGCTGGTGGGTTTGAACCACCAGCCTTCTGGTTAGCAGTCAAATGTCTTAGGCACTATGCCACCAGAGCTCCCTATTTGTGTGCTAGAGGGTAAGAAATTAATCCAACAAAAATTCAGGAGTCTTCTACCTCAGTGAAATGTCTAAGAGTCCAGAGGTGTGGGGCAAATTGATATTCCTGCTAAAGTGAAGGATAAGTTATTGCATCTGGCCCCTCCTAAAAAGGAGGCACAACATCTGGGGGGCTCTTTTGGTTGTGCTACTCCAGCTTATTTATGAGGTGACCCAAAAAGCTGCTGGTTTTCAGTGGGGCACAGAACAGAAGGCTCTTCAACAGATTCAAGGTTCTGTGTAAGCTGCTCTGCCACTTAGGTCGTATGATCAGGCTGATCCAATGGTGCTTGAAGTGTCAGAGGCAAACAGAGATGCTGTTTTGGAGTCTTGGGCAGGCCCCATTGGTAAATCACAGCACAGACCGAGAATTCTGGAACAAAGGCCTGCCTACCATCCTGTGCAGATAACTACTCTCCTTTTGAAACACACAGCTTATAGCTTGTTTACGAGGCCTCATTAGAGAATGTATGCTTAACTATGTGCCACCAAGTTACCCAGCAGACTGAGCTGCCCATCATGAAATGGATGTTGTCTAACCCAAAGAGTCTTAACATTGTTCATGCACAGCAACACTCCATCATTAAATGGAAGTGGTGTATATGAGATCGGGCTCAAGCATAACCTAAAGGCATGATTAAGTTACATGAAGAAATGGCCCAAATTTCTATGGTCTCCACTCCTGTCACATTATTTCCCTCTCCAAGTCTGTACTTACAGCCTCATGGGAAGTTCCTTATGATCAGCTGACTAAGAGAAAAGTAGTGCCTGGTTTATGGACGGCTCTTCACAATATGCAGGCACCACTCGAAGGTGGACAGCAGCAGCAATGCAACCTCTTTCTAGGCCCTCCCTGAAGAACAATGGTGAAGGGAAATCCTCCCAAAGTGCAGAACTTCAAACAGTGCACCTGGTTGTTCATTTTATTTGTAAGAAATGGCCAGAAGTGTGATTAAATACTGATTCATAGACTACAGCCAATCATTTGGCTG